GATGTGAATTGCTCGCAAGTACCTCCGGTTGCACACCCAACAAGGAGGAGATGGAAGCCAGTAAGCAAGCGAGCTGTGTGGCCCGGCAGCTGCCGGGTATCCGGTTTTGTTCTTTGGCCTGCACCGGATTGAACGCTGCTGGGTGTGCCAGCATCTCAAGAGCAGGATTTTATTTCAAAGTCCATCCTCAGGGCAACCAGCTTAAATTGCGTCAACTCCCCGAGAAGTATTACCTTGGATTCTTGGGTCTACTGTTTCAGCAACTGTGTTATTTATTTTATTTTATTTATTATTCATTAAAACATTTTTATGCCGCCCCATTCGCCAAAGCCTCGGGGCGGCTTACAACAATAAGTTAAAAATAATTATAATATTAAATTAAAAATATAAACATTAAATTAAAAATACAAAAATACCAATATAAAATAAGCCGCCCTGGTCAGATAAAATCCAATAATATTAACAGTTAAAATGCCGCTAAAATAAAAAGGTCTTTGCCTGGCGCCGAAAAAAAAAAATAACGACGGCGCCAGGCGGACCTCTCTGGGGAGCGCATTCCATAACTTATTGATTTAATTTTTTTATATGCCGTCCCCATTGATACACAGCCTCAGGACGGCTGTTATTTGGAGACATCATTTTAAATACTCATTCTGTAAAAGAACCTCTTGCATCAAAGTTGCATAATGTCCTACCCACTTTCCAATTTTTTCCCAGGGGAAAATGAAATAGATCACCCATAATTAAAGGAAGCATTCACAACACATTTTCCAGGACCTTCACACCACAAGTGTTGCCCCTTGACCACTAGATCACTTTCCTGGAACCAGTCTGGTATTATCTTCTTGTCTCAAAAGACCATTATAAAAAATCGCAATGCTATGACCCCAGAAATCCTTTCCCTGTGGATCATAAGGTCTCTACCTATGACATGACTATGTCCACCCAAGAAGTCTCAGTCCTTGAGTTGCTTGAAGCTGGTCAGCTAGGCTGGTCACTAATGAATTGCCAGGAAGAGGAAATGCAACATGAAAAGAGGGCACAATTTAACATAAAAGTTACATATATTGACTCATATGTACGGATGAACATCAATAGGTCTTTCTGCGATGACTCTAGTTGGACAACCATTCTTCTGGCTCTTTTATCCTTCAACTGGAATGGGACAGCCCTTGAAATAGAGTTTTGTCCCCATTAAGGGGGAGACAAGGCCACACCAAGTATCCTACTAATCTATCTCAAAACCAATCTAACAAGTATAGCATGCTAATTTTGGTTATTCCCAGTCTTCAAACTCAGAACACAACAGGCCTCAAGCTCCGTCCTTGCCTGATAGCATTGCTTGGATCCCCATCCTGCTTCTACCATCTCTTTCCTTACTTCTTCTCCCTTTTTTTCAGAGTTCTTCAGCCTTTATTTGCCTGACTGACGGGACATGACGAGATGACTCTCTCTCCTATCACTACATCTTCCTCTCAGAAAAAAGTGAAGCTTTCCCCTTTTACCGCTGCTTGTCATACCAAACATTGAGCTGGCCCAGTCATTTCCCCGTTCACTACAGTTTTGTAAGCTGAATAAATTAGCATGGGGAAAGATGATTCACAGCGGAAGGCATGGTTTTTGAAGATTCTCCCCACCCATCCCATTAAAAACCTTGCAAATTATACAACCACTTCCTAGCAGCTAAAAGCAAAGCCTATTAAACCCAGCCTGCCCAATTTTGCAACTATTTTGCAACAGAGTCTGTTTTATGGAGCGACCACTTAAGAAGTGAGACAAAAAAGGATGCTGATTTGCATCAGATTTGTAAATGCTGATTTACAAATTTGGAAATAATTACTATAATTCGAACTAAAGAAGAAAATGAACTTCTCACTGTAGTGAAGTCGTTCATGAGGCAACTCGTGTGCCTGCTTCACCTGCCATCCAGGTGCAGGTTGGAGGGCAATTTCAAGACTTCTGGGGAGCCTTTTTCCTTCAACCTGACCCAGGTTGGACAGGCCTTCGAATAACAGATTCCCCTTTGCTGAGTACGATCAACAGGCACCACACCGTTGTGCAAAGGAGAATTTGTGCGACCAGGCAGAGGAGCCAGGCCTTCTGGAAGGGTCACCCTTTCTGCCTCCCCTAAAGGACACCAAGGGGAAGATCCACTTGGCTTCATCCATTAGCCAAAAGAGGAGAAGCTTTAGAACCCTGTTCCCCTTCCCCACAAGAAACAGCTGCTTCGAACAGCCAATTGTAACCCTGAAGGGAAGGGGTCCCTGGCACCATCCATCAGCTAGAAAGCCAAGCGCAGCTCAACTGTGTGTGTTCACATCAGTTGCTCCTCAGGGTGGAGAACCATGGCCTAAAATTGTCCGATTGTGTCTAAATCTTCTAAAATAAATAATTAAATGAGATTACGCTCCTGTCATCAGAAGCGGCATAGTCCATTGGTTACCTCAGGATGTTTCCAGCTGTTTCTGATCTATGTGTACGCCACTGATCTGAAAAAAATATTCATCTGCTCATGCCTCCGAATCTAACTTTTGTTAGAGGGGAGAGGATAGACTGATTCAAGCTGAGCATCAGCCCCTGGCAATTGCAGCAGCTGGGACCCCAATACTCCTAGCAGACCCTAAGGGGACAGTGATGCCTATTATGGATTGCCCATGCTGGATTCCTGGTTCTGAGAACTGACATTTCAATTTCCTCCTTAGCCCCAGAATGATGCTGCATCAGTGTTAAATTAAAATGGTGGCATCAGTCTAGTGTGGATCAAAATATAACTGCCCTTACAGCCACCATGAAGCCCTGGCCCTCATCCTAAGCCCATGAAGGACCACTAACATAGGTGGAAGCCCACCAGAGGGTGCTTAGGGGAGGAACTCCCTCCAGTTCTGGAGCCAGCCTCGAGAGTAGGTACTACTCTCTGCTACTACTGCATGTGTGTGCAGTAGTACCTTTCCCCAGCTCTTTGGCAGCCATAGTTGTCACAGGCCTAAGACCTCTAAAGGCGTCAAACCTAAATCAAAAGGGAAACCTATTTCTACACTTTTAGGTTGCATGGTCTTTCCTCTGGAAGTCACACTGGGACATTACACTTTTGTATATTTTTATTGTTACGTAACTTCTCTCTTTCAAAATACCAATCCAAACAGAACATCAAAACAGTACAACCTAGCAGGTGTTGCAAAAGACATGGATTTCCCAAGAAAGGCAGGCAAATGTTAGTGAAATAGGTAGAGCTGGGGAAATAACTTCCTGCAAGAGAAATCAAATTTAGTTCTTCAAAAACCAGTGCAAAAGAGGACAAGGATGCTTTTGCTTTTTATTTTACACGCGCGCACACACACACACACACACACACACACACACACAAAGTAAATTCTGAAATGTGCTGCAATAAATTTTATTAGTCATATCCAGCTGCCATACAGGAGTCAGGTCTTTGACCACCTCTTTTAGAATGGAGTTCTCTTCCTGGCAGCTTTCCATTCACTGCCCATGAAGCTGGCTTTTGTTTCAGTGAGGTAGTACGAGGTGATCATAAGGGCGGGAGGAGAATGTGTGTGGGGTGAAGTCTTCTTTCTTTACATTTATTGATGGCAATATCTATGTCCTCTATTTCAAGGTCTAACTGCCCAGAAGATACTAGAATGATTTCAGGAAAAAAATGAGTCTTTTCTTCTGCCCTCTCTCAGTTGTATCTGAACTCAAATCAGAGTGAGGGCAAAACCGTATAGAAATGCAAATGCTACCCAGCAGCCCACAGTGAAACCAAAGTTACCAGAGTGAAAATGAGTTGGAACTTTTCTAGTGGCAAATTCATGTTAGGAAAACTTTCCAAGAACATTCACCTTACTGACAAACCTAAAAATGCCTAGCACTAAGCCCAGAGCTGGAAATCTGTGGTGCTCCTGATTTTGTTGGATTGCAGCTCCCATCAGCCCCAGCCAACATAATCAGAGGTCAATGATATGGAAACTGTAGTTCAACAACCTTTGGAGATCCACAAATGTTCCCCACTCCTGCTCTAAGCATGCCTCAGTCTCCTACCCTTAGCAGGGACCAGCACCCACAACCAGGTATAATTCTGAATGAATGGCAACACACAAAGGAAGACATCGATCCTCAGACTGGGTGCAAACAGTAGGGGGCCTTCTTCCTCTCCACCACAGAACAAGCCACAGCAGCTGAATTGCCCTCTTCTGTACCACTGCTAAAGCTCAGTGCTTTGGTGATGATGCCCAGGAAGCTGCTTACAGCTTCCGGCAGCATGCCATTCCAGCGGTGGCACGTACGCCATGCTTAAGGAAGGCCTTGTCAGGTCAATTGCTGACCTTCTCCCAGTTATGCTGACCTTCTTCCTTCAGCTTCGGTTTCAAGTGATGCCGTTCATCTGTCTTGAAGGGAGATGCATGGCTGTTCTGCTGTGGTAGCAAAAAGCTGGTTTGAGATGCATCCAGCAGGAGATATAATGTGCTCTTTATTATTTCCCCTGTGCGAAGATTTATTATTTGGCCACAGCAACTAAGAGATTATGCTAGCCTTCTCTTGTACAGCAGTGCCTTGCGGATGCAGTTCATCTTTGCGTCCTCCATGATGCCCTGGACTGAGCATTGTTTTAGGGTGCTTTGTGTGGATGTGTGTGCGTGCAGTGGGGATGGTAGCTGCCTGGCACCAAAAGTCATGGAGAATAACAGCACAAAGGTTGCTAGTTCAGTGTATCAAGGAGATCCACTCATGTAACAGAAGTTACTCCTTTCTTCTGGGGGTTTCCCTCTCGGTTGCCAAACTGGGAGATACAGTCAGCCTGTGTTCCCTGTTAGAGGGAATTACAGGGTAGCTGGGGACAAGATCTGGAGAGTCATTTTGATGGAGACCACTTGAAAATCTCTGCAATAACTTATATAATAAATAATATGCTCATTTAAGTGGAATTTGTTTTAAAAGATTGCCAAGTGGTCAATTAGACCAAAAACATTATACAAAATAACAGATAGGTACAATAAATATTTGTTGGATCTGTTTGAAAAAAGGCATTTATTTACATTTTCAGGGGCTCTGCTGAACAGCAAAGACATTTTGGAATAAAGGGCTGTTCGGAGACAATAGCAGTCCTTAGATTCATTTGTATTTCTGCTAAAAGCTAGCAAGTACCTTCAACCATGAAAGGCTTTTTTTTCTTCCTTCCAGATAGGCTCATGGCAGCGAGGGCGAGGTTTTCCCAAACATTGTTTGTTCAGTCAACAGATGCAAAGCAAACAAGACGAGCCAGTGGCCACATTAGGTCTGATGGCTTATAGATACAATAACGTTGTTCATGAGTGGATGCTCCCTTATTGACAAAACAAGGTTCATAGAAATATAACAAGCTTCTCAGGGACATGGTCTAATCATAGAATAGAGGGAAGGAAGGAGTGAGGACTTGCACTCGCAAACCTCAACACCCCTGTAGCTCTCATATGAACAGGATCCATGCTGGCATACTACTACCTAATGCTGGCTACTGTAAAACAACCTAGTCAGCCCTGCGATAGATGGCCCAGTTTAGTTTGCAGCAGTTCATATATTGTCACCTTTGCTCTAGTGTAATTTATACATGGTTTTAACCAGACTATAAAGCATATAATAAGCAGTCCTGTGCTCGCATTTGCTTCTGGTGAGCTTACTGGTGAAATGGCCACTGTACCTGTTAAAAGAAGCTTGACAAGCTACTGCAAAGTTTCAAAACTTTGAGTACCTGAGGCACAGGGTTCTCAAGGGCTGGTTCTGGGGCTTGTGTATGCAGAGGGTGTTTTTCTGGATTGACACTGGAAGCCCTGCTTCACTTGCAAGGACGAGGCACATATTAAGATTGTCCCAACATATTGCCAAACATTGGCAAGGACAGTACAGTTAATAATATGGCCTCCGGGCCCTTCAGCTTGTCCTTTGGCACTCAGAGATGGAACCATGGTTTTTGGGCTGTTGTGAGTGAAAGAACCCTTATGCATCCTTCCTTCCTTGGGATGCTGCTGCTGCTGCCACACAAGAACAGCCGTCTCAAGGTCCTCAGTTTAATGTCCTGCACCTCCAAGGTGGGCTGCCTGAGAAAATCTCTGACCTATAACTCTGGAAAGCTGACCCCAGTCATTGCAGACCAGGGCAGGTAGACCTCCGCAACCCCAGCCAGCACAGCAAACATCAGGGATGATGAGCATTGTAGACCAAACACCCACAGGACACCTCATTGGCTACCATACACCATCAGGCTCTGCTTATCTGCTGCCCATGCCTGGTATCGGCATTCTCTTATGTACCTATGGAGGGGGGGGGGGCACGTCTCCACTCCAAGGACCATAGAGGGCAGATGTGCCTGACATGGTGGCTGAATTTCCCAAGGCATTCTTCAGCCCCTTTCGAGGCCTGCTGAGTAATATACCCTACATGCCTTCGGGATCACAGTGCTGGAAGCAACCATGACTTGGTAGGAAAACACATACTTCATATGCAGGCCGTTCCAGGATTCAGTCCATGGCATTTGCTCTTCAATGAACCAGGCAGAAAGGGAGCCTGGAGGGCAGCCACCCATCTGAACCAATCGTACTGCACTAGAGGAACAAATACTCTGACCTGGGACAAGCGGATGGCCAAAGTCCCAGAGGAATGGGCTGACTTGCCGAGAAGCCAACAGCAGTTCATTCCCAGTCAATCAAAAGGGGCCAAGACTTGTGCAACTCTCTCAACCATCTGAGAAGCGTGCTTGCATGCAGAAAACTGGGCACCACCATTACCTCTCCTAGACAGGTGGTGATATGCTATATAAGTGTGAAAGTCAGACTGGTTTGTCTCCTAATACAGTCCCAACCTCGCTTCCTTATCTTCACGCTCTGCTGTTCTGGGCAGTCAAGAGCAAGCTGTAGCACAGACTCAGCCCCAACAAGCCCACCAACTTCCCCACGTTGTGATGTTTGAACAGTCTGAGAGCAACTCCTCGTCTTGGCTTGCTGCAAAAGGATCAGTGCTTCAGGGTTGCATATTGGATGCTCTCCTCTGATTCAGAGTCTGTCTCTGAGTCATCAAAGATGGGTTTGGGACGTGGGGTCAGGTTCACCAGGGAGGAGTAGTGCAGCTCCTCACCTTTCACTTCTCCCACATTCTCGTAGTCAGCCTTGGGGTCTCCCTAAAGCAAGAGAGGATACAAGTTTTAGGGATGGGCAGTGGCTTAGCATTCACTCTGCCTATGCACATGTGTGTGCACATTTCAGGTCTGGTACCTGCCAACACCTTGCTAAGCTGAAACAGGCCGCGAGGGAACGTATGAAGGGCCCTGCTGGGTCAGGTGAAGAGTCCATCTAATCCAGCATTCTGTTCAGGCAGTGGCCAACCTGCTGTCCACAGGAAACCCATAAGCAGGATGTCAGTGGAACAGCACCTTCCTGCCCAAGTTCCCAAGCCAGTGGAGTAAAGAGGCACTCAGATACAAGAGGGAGCATAAAGCTGCTGGGACTGGTTGCCATTGATAGCTTTACCCTCCACGAATCAGGCCGGTCTGAAATCCTGGGAAGGTGCTGCCAGGTCGTGCATGCCAACCTGACGCCCTGGGGAAGATTTGGATCTCCACTCCCATCAACCTCAGCCTCCATGGCCAATGCTCAGCAAAGCTGAGAGCTGTAGTCCAAAATGTCTGGGGGCTGACAGGCTGGGAAAGGCTGGTGCGGACCACTGGCCTTCAGCTGGAGTGCAAGGAGGGATCCACTGCAGTGTGAGCCAAGGAGGGTCACAAGTGCAGTGACACCAGCCTTATCTGTGCACCTTCACTTATCTGTGCACCTTCAAAATATATGTCTTTTTCAAAATTTGCACTTTTCAGAAAGTCACGCATTTTTCCAGTGCACATTTTGCAAATACAAGTGCAAACTTTTTTCAGGGAAAACGCATCTCCTACTCACGTTTAGGATTGCAAATGGGACATTTCTGAGAGATGTGTGGACCACACTGAAACTCTCATCCCTCCCTTGTCAGAAGTAATCAGAACACTGACTGCTACAGACAAACTCTCATGTGAAAAATATGCTGTCAAATACTGCTCTGGACCGTATGGTCTATATCAGCGGCTGTCAAATCTCACCTGCTGCTAAATGACAACTGTCAAAACTAGCCATAAGTCTTCCATTCACTGGATAATTTTGTCATATGCTCCCTGGTACTGCATGCCACCATCAGACACTAATGACCACTGATTGTTACCTGCCAGATCTTGTCAAAATTCTTACTGATCCATAGAATTTGCACCATGAGAAATTTTGAGAATTCGGTGTGAGTGGGAAGGAAGGGGTCATTTTGGCTCTCTGCCATCTCACTTCCTCCTCCATTTTGGTGAAGCTGCTGGCATGTTTTTCAGAATTCTCACTGAAAACCTATAAAACTATTTGCTTTTTGTTTTAAAGTTGAAAGTACCATGTATTCATGTTTCCACAGCTGCTTTTTGTACTGATCTACAGAAATTATTCCTCATATAAAAGGAACATTTATCTATTTGAATATAAGCAGATCAAGCAAAACAGGTACTCTCTGTAGGGGTGCTCTCCCCTTAGGAATACCAGAGGTGCAAGTTTCTCTCCCGTCCCATAGAACTGCCCCTCTGCTGCAAGAAAACCTTCATGTATTAAATTCTGCTTCTTGTGAAGGTGGGAAAGACACAGGAATGAGTTTCAACAGCGCAGCTACTCTGGAGAGATTCCAACAGAGCCAAGAAAAGGAAACACACATTTAGGCAAATTATTTCTATGGCAATGGTTTCTTGTAAATTGCAAAGAAAAAACAGATGCCCACACAAAACAAATAAGTCATACAAAAAGAGGAACCTGAATCAGAACGGCATAGCCTATGTATGGTTATGCCTGACTAGCTGGGCTGCCAAGCAAATCAAGAAACTCAACGGAACAGAGCCCACTCAGTTTTATTTTCATGAGTTCCAAAGCATGAAGTAAGAAAGGTTCCCATGCTTGGTATTCTCTTCAGACCACTTATCATCCCCTTAGGAGTGAAGCTTTGGCTGACCCAGTGACAGAACTGGCACAGTGAATTTCAGCAGCCATGCCTAGGATTCTATTCTCCCAGAATGCCCCTGGCATGTCGTCATGCTGCATTGTTCTGGCAATGGCGGCTATCAGTATGGACAGCACTTTTGTAGTAGCTACAGCCAGCACTCAATGGCCCAGAACAGGACTCAATGACCTGGTGCCCTGCGGATATTCCAAGCCACAGTTCCTTCGATTCCTGAACATTAGCCATGCTTCATGGACCTGATGGGGGCTGACATCAAAGAGACCCAGGATACCCAAACAACGCCAAGGATAAGACTGAGAAAAAGAGGGTGATGCTTTGGAAGCTGCTTTGAGTTCTTTAAAAATCGGAAAGGGCTATTTGCTTTTTACTATAATAAATACATAAATAGTGCCACGAGCAGTGTCCAAAGTCGGTACCCGCTGCCAGGATGCCACCCTCAGTAAATAAAAAGTCAGGATGGAGGGTGATTCATGAAGTAAGTAGTCATTCTTCTCCCTCCCCATATATTAATCTAAGCTGGGAAAGAGTTAGGGGGCTCAGTGGTCTTAACTGACCACCTTTCCTTTGAAGTGGCCTCTTAAGAATCTCATGAGTTCATACCTGAGCCAGGCTGGATTAATTCCCATGACACCCCTGAATATCCCTAATCCAGGAAAGATTGAAAAAGGGAAACGTGAAACAGAGAATGACATCAAAGCAGCAGCTGCCATGAGAAACACAGGTATCCAACAGGGTTGGAAAACGTGACTGCTTGCACCAATGGCATGAGGAACTGGGAGGAACTATCTCTACCCAGTATAGCAGCTGTTTTCCATCCTCCACAGAAAGTACAGACTGGGGAATGTTCAGTGAAGTCCAATGATGAGCATTAAGCATTTCCAAGTTCAGTCTTTGCCAAAGCCAGTCAATTAAATTCTTTTATCAAATAAGCACTGGTTAGAACCATGACATCACACCCAGAAAGTGAAGTGGTCAATTTAGAGGTTCACAACCACAAAGGAATGATCTCCTGTCCCACCTGTTCTTTTCCAGCACCAGCACCCTCCTCTCTTCCATGGACCATGCAGTTAAGAAGAGGGATGTGATGGCACCCAAATGGAGCTGCCAGGACTCCACTGGAATCCTCCCCTTCCCTGATGCTCTGTGGACAAAGACGCCTGGTGCTGCCCCTGAGGTTGTTCTGGTGTGAGTCTTCCTCCCCCTCCAGGATGTTAGACTGCACACCCCAGCAGCCCCAGCCATAAGGGCTGGGGTGATGCTGTCTAGCAAAATGGGAGTTGTACTACAATGCAACTGGAGGACACCAGGGTGAGGATGACTGGTGTGACTCAGTAAAAACCTGAGTGTTGATCAGAATTGTACTGGCAGTGCCCCTGCTCAGGGACAGCCTTTCCCAGCTGCACAGACCTGCCCTCTTTCCATCTGTTGTCCAGAAAGTAGGAGAGAGCAGGATGGTGGATCTGGCAGGCCATGGGTCCTGCATAGACCAGAAAATTCTAGCTTAAACTGCGAGTGTACCTTTGGAGGAAGTCGAGGTTTCTTTAACTCACTGTAGACGACAGCTTCATTTGAAGGATCTGAAGATGGTATTGGCTGATTAATCCTGTAAGATAAGGAAGATTGAAAAGGAAGGGCATGTAAGGGATGCAGAGAGAGAGATTTGGTGCTAGCATTTTCAAAGCTGGCTACACAAGAGGAGACCAAAAGAATCCGGTAACACAGTGCACCTTTCTCTACCCTTTTAGAATACTAGCTAGAAGTCCTCATTCTACACCACTGTGAAAATCCCAGGAGCTATGCTTTCTTCCTTTGCAGCTGGCCCACCCGGGTAGCAAAGAAAACTGGACATATGCAGCAGAACATTGTTCAAACAGGGTCCCAGATGGCAGGCTAGGGTGAAAAGTAAGTCCCATATCTGATCAACTTGAAGATGGTGGCAAGAGAGGCAACGACTACTGTTTTAATATCAGTGTGGAATTTCTGCTGGTGCAGAATGGGATGGAAGATGAGACATTTTGCAGAAATTCCCCATCCTTTACTGCATCACTCTGATGCTGATATAGCTCCGTGTGTGCATGTATCTTGGCTCCCACATCTGCCAGGCCCAGCATCAGGGGTCAGAACCACTAAGATCCCTGGAGTCTCTCAGCCCTGCCCACCTCTTTCATTCCGTCGCAGTCTGCCCAACGGCCGACTCCAAGGGACAAGGTCTTTCCCCACTCCCCTCTCTATCTCCAAGTGAACCCAGAAAGGAAATCAAGAGAATGGCCAGCAGCAACAGTGGCAAGTTGGAGGACACGGACAGTGTCAGAGAAGGGGAACAGAGTGAACATCTTGCAACGGGTCCCCCCAAAACCTGGAACCTGCAGTACCCCTAGCACAACCGTCCTGACTTCCCAGTGCCCTCCCTGCCTTACCTGGCATAAATGGTCCGTTCCTTGGAGACACTGGGAGGGAACTGAATCGTTGCATAGGAAATGGCTTCTTCAGCACCCTGGTTCAGGAATCCAATGGAGTCCTCCATGCTTTGACTTGGCTGGTTGTTATTATTGCACAACTTCACTTGCTTGGACTATGGAACAAAGCAAAGTTGACTTTCCTGCTTGACAGCTCTTCATTATTTCTCAGCACAGATACAACTTATCTGCCCTTGTCTCCATGTGTAAGGTGATTCCAGGCAAAAGAAGCTGGGCTTTCCCAACATTTCTTGAAGAGGGAGAATTTCAGTAAGTAGCCTTTGACACTTGGTGCTAAGAACAACTAGAACCTACTACCATTTTGGAATATATGACAAATTCATTTCTGCCCCCCCCCCCGCCACCACTTTGCGCTTTCTAGATCGAACACTCTTGGTCTAAGTTTGCAGTCAAAGTCTGTGCATTCCAAACTTGCAATGTGATTGGTAGACCAAAAACAAGCTGCTCAACAACACACATTTGAGAAAATGTACATGAAAAATGTGTACTTTTGAAAAATCTGCACAAATATCCATGAATCAAGGGGAGAAGAACTGAGTATTTTTCAAAGATGAACACAATTGAGGTATACATTTGGGGAAATAGGAACAAATATACATGTGAATTCCATTGCAGGGGGAACAACAGAGTTTGTGCTCTGATACAGCCTCTGGGTGGAACAAACTTTGAGACTGTATTCTGAGAGTGTTGTTAAGCTTGGACTTTGCTGATTCTTCACACCCCTACTGAAACTATCTCTTGAACCCAACTACTCAAGTACACAAGTTCCAACCTGTTTTGCATTCAGGCATGCCTTCTGTGGGGAGGTGGTGGTGCCCTCCACCATTGGTACCATTTATTTTGGAAGAAGCAACAGTCGAATTTTAGAGTTGGAAGGATCTTCCAAAATCATCCAGACTAACCTACTGCTCAAAGCTACAATCAGTTCGCCTTCTGATTTCCTGAGACTTTCAGCAGGTTTATCAGAAGTCTGAAGTGAACTGGAGAAACTGCTTGTTCCAGCACAATTAGCTGCACTGGACTCATCACTTCTCACGCTCCCAACACACACACACACACACACACACACACACACACACACACACACGTGCACATAACAACTACATGGCAAACTAAGAGAACATGTCGGCATAACAGGTTAGAACAAACTTGAGATTTGAAAGATCAGTGAAGGAGAAGAGAAACTGATCAAGAAAACTTTTTTTTTTTTCTGGTCTGTGGACTAGCCTCATGATCTGATACCTGCTCTGATGCCTTCCACACCCCTCCTCCCAATCCTGTAGTGAAATTAGCTCAGGAAAAATATAGTACTTAACCTTTTTCATAAATACAGAGGCAACCCTTTGGCTCCTGCTGGCGCCTGGAAGAACCCTTTTCTTCCTGTTGAGACAGAGAAAGAGCAGGTCGTGTCCCTGCATGTGAGGCAGCTCGCTGGAGGGTCTGCCTGCTTCCACCGAGGATGGCATGCATGTGCCAGTGTGGAAGAGGGCAAGGGAAACATGGGGGCTGCTGGCCAGAAGGACACGTGTGTGACTGCCAAGCAGCAAGCGGTGCCTTAGCTTAGAAGGTGCCACCTAAGCCCCGCCCACTTGGCCCACCCACTGCTGATGGTGCCACCTCCCTCTGGCCCTGCCATTTTGACTGTGGGGAGGAGCTGGGCACAACGTAGGAAACCACCAAGTGGTCATAGAATCACGGAATCGTAGAGTTGGAAGGGGCCGTGAAGGCCATCGGGGCCAACCCCCCGCTGTTGCAGGACGCCCCGTTACACCATCCCACTCAGATGACTATCCAGTTTCTTTTGAATGCCAGTAGTGTGGGAGAGACCACAACTTCCCTAGGCAGCTGGCTCCACTGTTGCATTGCTCTGACAGTGAGGACACTTTTCCTGATATCTAGCCTGAACCTGGGATGTTGCAACTTGAACTGATTATTCCATGTCACACTCTGGTATCAGTGAGAAGAGTTCTTGACCTTACTCTTTATGACAGCCCTTGAGGTCCTTATACGGGGATACCATGTCCCCCCTCGGTGGTATCTTCTCAAGGCTGAACATGCCCAGTTCTCTCCATCCCTCCTCACAGGGCAGTGTTTCCAAATCTTGGATCGTTTTTGTTGCCCTGCTCTGGACCCTTTCTCGTTCTTCTCCATCTTTCTTAACTCTTGGTGCCCAGAACTGGACACAGTATTCCAGATGATCCATGACTGGAGGGAAGGCATGATGCCAGGAGAAGCAGTTTGACCGCCTGAGGAACCCCAAGGGCCCAGTTGGGACCCCCATGCTCAGTGAGCAGTCACCTCTGTTTACCATGTAGGTCTGCACCCTGTGGCCTTTCACAGATGCAGGAGATCACAGGCAGCTCTTTCCCCTGCTATGAGCATGGGATGAACACCTCACCTGTTGGGTTTCAGCCTGTGCTTCAGTCTGGTTCCAGTGGGGGGTTTGGCCTTTAATCTGCGGGCACAATGAGGGGGGAGGTGCTCTCTGGGGAGGTGGCCTGCCACCAAAGGCACAATGGAACTAGACCATAATGGAACTATGCGGGAAGCATCACAGAAGCATGTCCTGCCCGGGCCAAGCCGTCCCTCCCGATCACTTACGCTCTCCGCAGAATGTAGAGAAGCAGCCCCAGCATGATTATCATGGCAAGAGCAGCGCCAAAGCCAATGGCGGTGTGCTTCAGCATGGTGGTTCTGCTGTCTGCGTAGGCAAAAAGAGAGCGTCACAGTTTGCATGGGTCTCATGGCGAAGAGGCCTCTTCCTGAGCCCAAGATGGCTAGCACTGGTTCAGTGGGCTTGGTCGCCCACTGCACCCCACCGGCAGGACCGCAGCCCCCCTCCGCCATCTCCATGTGCCTTGCAGTCTTAAAAGACTGGTGCTCATGCAGCATCTTCTTCTCCCTCCAGGGTTCTCTGTGCAAAATCGTATAGCCTCCTGACTACATCACCCAGTCTTTCTGGGGCTGGACTTGTCGAGATGGGCTTATGGAGTGCTGGGAGCCAACCAACTGGGAGGAAAAGCTAGACTGGAGCCAAAGTAGCAGCAGCTGAAATGAAATCTGATGTGTGGACTGGTGTGTGGGGGGCTGGAGCAGGCTTGAGGGAGGGGAGACGGGGTTTCTTGGGGGCTTGAACGAAGAAACAGTGGCTGTTGGGCCCCATACGGAGGCATGGCCATGCCACCCTGAACATACCTGACCTCGTAAGCTAAGCAGGGCCAGGCCTGTTGGCGCTTGGCTGGTGTTTCTTCTGAAAATAAACTGAAATATTTCCAAACCAGAGGAAGCAGGAGAATGCCCCAGCTCATCTTGTGCCAGTTGCAGGTAAAATGTGTATGTGCATTGGTTGGGGGGGTAATTATTTGTAGTATTTATGTATCTAGAATACCTATTTAGAATATGCATCTCCTACCTGACCATTGTAAGAAGCCCTCTGACGCAGAAGCCTGCAAAATATTCCAGTATAAAAATAGGAATACTATCCACCTGGAGTCTCTGTATGGTGACCATTAGGGGGAAGACCCTCATTCATTAGTTCCCATTGTTATTATTGGTGGTGGTGGTGATGGGGATGAGGATGGTGATGAAGATGAGGATTTTTATATGCTCCATTCCTATAGGCTCTGGGTGATTTACGACAATTCTAAACCAATAACAATTCAAATTGAGATTAAGAACAACATATGAAATAAAGCCAATCTGGGAAGACCTGTCAGAAGAGTTGCATCTTTAACCCCCACTTGAAGTTCATGGCCCAGAATATCTGAGGCACCTTTCCTGGGAGGCCATTCCGCAGTTCAGGCCCTTGCCTCATACAGCTGCTGGTCCCCCCCTCCCCGCATAATCAGGCCTTTTTGAAAGAAAAGGTTCTTACCCGCCATCTATAACAAGATTTGTCAAGACAGAATTCTGGCCCTGCCACCAGTAACTACTCACAGTACACTGCGAGGTTCACGGGTTGTGATGCCCCCTCAGAAATTATGTTGGATGCTTTGCAGTGATATTCTCCTGAATGCTTGACTTGGACCTTCCTGAGGAAAAGGATTTTGGAAGCCTCCCGAGGCATCGCCTTCCTATTCCAGTACCACCTGTACCTATTTGCTGCTGGATTGGCATCATTGCTGCATTCCAGGGAGACGTCTTTCCCCTCGGTGATGGTGTCCACAGGATCCACAGACACTTGGATGTCACGAGGCCCATCTGCCGGAGAGAAAAGAAAACACCATTTGACACATCCCAGGACTGGTCCTTCAGGTTCTCAGCACCACAGCAGGGAAATTGAGAAGCCTGAAGTCAAACAACCAGGGAATGACGGGTATCGGGGACTGCACACAATTTGGTTTGATGCAGAATCCCACATGCTGGGAATTGTGAGTTTCCTTTTACAGAGGAGTGGGGAAAGAGTTTAGCATTTCTGTTGCAGCAAAAAGGGGCTTGAAAGAGTCAGTGCAGCTGCCAGTGAAAGTGGCAATCCTGAGCCTTGTTTCCTTGGCTAGCGGTTTATGTCTATACATGTTTAATATCAGTAAAAATGTAGGATATGCAGAATCTCAGGCAAGAATGGAAGAACAAACTGGAATGATCTGTAGTGCCTAATCAGTGGAGTGCTTCATTCTTGTCTATTTCACAAGGGGCCATGGAGCTTAGGCCAGGCTTAATGCATTCAGAATTGATGTTTCGGAAATATGGGACGCCACAACACCTCTTTAGCAAGGGGCTAAATAAATGAACCAGCTGTCAGAGGGATGCTGCTGCGATTGTCTCTCTTCTCCTCATGTTCTGGCAATGCCCAATGGCAGTTTCTTTTTGGGAGGAGACAATAATTTGGATAAACCTTGTGTTGGAAGGCTCTTTGATAGCTAAAGTTATATGTGTTCTTTTGAATTATCTACTCATCTCTTGGAACCTAAAACAACATACATGAAAATGGCTTCTCCATGCCCTCTTGGCAGTTAAGAGGCTAATATTACAACATCGGAAAGGTAAATGGTTACCTGCAATAATACAATGGATAGAGGATTTAATGAAATGTTCCATTTTTAATGGGTGGCATTTAGGCAGAACTTACATATGGATACATATATGGATTTTTGGGGTAGTTTTGCCAAAGTATATCTATAATTATTGTTAATTACAATAATCTCTTACAAATTAAGATATTATGGAAATTATATGGAGATGTGCAATATAAGTGTAATTAATGCTGTGAGTCCTTCTTTCCTGAAATATTGCTTTATTGGCTCTGCCATGGAGCCAACTGGGTGACCCTAAGTCAGTCACAGACTCTCAGCCCACCCTACCTTGCAGGGTTGTGGTTTATGAAGATACAACTGAGAGTATGAGGTGGAGAATGATTTGAAGTATTAAAAAAGAGAAAAAGTCAGAATATAAATCAAATAAATTAAATAAACAAAAACATTGTTCAAATATTACACTTTCTTTTTATGGCATTTGTATTGAAAACTTAAAACATCACAGATGCTTAACAAACTGCAAATATATACAAACAATGCAGAATTGAAGAGAAAAGAAATACTCCTATGGCAGACAGAATTCCGTTTTACCTGTTAAAATGTCTTGTCAGTTAAAGACAAGCAGTTTCTCCTGCCCAGCCCCAGTAATGCACATGCAGACACAAAACTAGGTTTGTTTTTATTTTTCAGCTCAAAATCCTTTTGTTCCCCCTCAAAATTCCTAGGATATTTCACCTGCCAAAACATTTCCAAGCTCACTGTGATCTTTCATGTTAGGGAAATTCTGACCATGACTCTAACTCTAAATTTCTTCTGCTTTCTGGGGACAAGGGTTTTCCCTTTTGGGATCTGCACTTGCAAAGACAGGACCCCTGTGACTTTAGTAGCAGAATGTGGTAGAGGCGGGCAGCAACCTAAAAGTACCCCTGCTCCAGGCAAAAAGGCCTTGGGTAGTGATGGAAAACAGTGGTTCCTTTAGACAAAGCAAGGGCACCCAATCAGGTGTTTGTGTTCCGTCACTAGTGCATCTCCAGCATTCTTACTTACACTGGACATTCAGCTTTAAGCCCAAGGAATGCCTAAAGCCCACTGTATTATTGACTTTGCATTCATAGATGCCGGAATCTTTGGAAGTCACATTCTGGATCGTCAGTGTGGAGGCTGGAGAGTTCTTCTTTCTGGAGAGATAAGCTGGCTCCTGATCTTTGTACCATGCGTACTGTATCTCCTTGGGGTTTGCTGGTCCCACATCACATCTCAGCTGCACAGGAGAGCCTTCTTTGATATCTCCTGCAGGCATTTGCACAATTTTCACATCCTTGGGAGCAACTGCAGGAAGAGCGGACAGGAAGAATATTATCACGTGGTGTGCCCCCCCCCCCACTTGGTTTGCTCTGTGTTGATCAGGCTGCAGTAAAGCCCAGTGGACCGGATCAGAATTTCACGGATCAGTTCCAGAGGCACGTGCCCGGCTGCACTCGCCAGCCGTGTATGATGCTGTGGAACCTGCTCTGACTACATTTCTGAGATTTATTCTCGCCTAGTCATTAGATTCTGTTAATTTCAGCCATTAATTTCAGTAATCTACATTTGGTGCCAATTCCCAATTCTACAATTCACACTCCTGAACATGCTCAAATTCCTCCCCTAAAAGCAGAATTTGCATCAAATTGTAGAAGATTTTAGAAAAACAATGCACAAGTCAAAGGAGTCTGTGCAACCTGGGAAAGGCCTTAGAAAGCTGAGCACATATGAGTCTGCGGCAATTTCTCCAACAGGCCAATATATATTATTCTCAACTGCTCGGGATCCTCCCCCAAAAGCTGTCCGACGTCTTTTGCCCCTATGTGCTGGGCCATGTAGTGGGCAGCTAACCC